TTCTACAAAAGTGGAGAAAACGATAGGGTGACGGACCCCCAACTAACTTGAGCCAGCCTGTTGGCCGTGTCATGCGTTGAATGGTGGTAGAGGGAGTTTTACGGGTGGGGCAACACACAGGACGCAGAGCAAGAAGACACAGAAGATAGATAAAGTTCTGCCGAAAGTGTTATCGTACGCTGTCATTTGGCAAAGAAAGCGAGCGCGGCAATCAAAAAACAAACAAAAACAATTTTCAAAAAACAACGGACATTTAATAAAGTGCCTCTGGTGCATTAACATTCAGACGGGAAGGGAAGGAAATTTCAAACAATGAGAGCGGTGGAAAATGAGTGATGTTTACAGTCACACTGAATTTTAGGGTATATTTTTGGAGTTGACATCTACTTGGGGTTCCTATACCCTGTCGTTACCAAAGTGGAATCATGTTCTAAAATAGCGGATATCGTTACAAATTGCTTGACGCTTTGATGCAGGATCTGCGTATTAATAAATGGTCTCTTTTATGTCAACGAACTGTCTGAAATAACAGACTAGTGCGGTTTGAATTTCTGCGCGTTTTAATGTTTGTGTCGTTATAGATAAAGCATTAGCATTTCTCTGCCTTAACGATCTTGAACAAGGATAACTACCAATCTCGAAATTGTACACTTGTTATTCGTGAAATCGGGCCTGGTTGCGGACAAAGCCGCCCTTACGGCAGGTTCGAATAATAGAGGAAACGACATAGGGACAAACAACCATATTTTACGAAATATAAGGGTCGTTTAATGATAGGTCAGTGACAAACCGCTGGAAGAACGATCTAACCGGGTATATCAAAGAATGTTACCGAGTAGCTTTCAATTTCTCAGTTAAACAATGATCGATTCTCTTATGAGTTAGTTTATATGAAGCACATAGCACATGCATTAACAGGATACAATTTTATCTAAGAAAGAAATACTATCCCCGATAGTACACAACCCTCCCGATGAGGTGGGCGAAACTTGGATGGATCGGGAATGACCTAGCTGCGGGGTTCGGTCGTATTTTGCTTTTAACACAACTGACGTACAGATACCGTGGATACGTTTACTGCGTAGATCCCCCTGTAAGAGTCACAGCATGTCAAACCACTTCCCGTTCCTTGTTTTCAGAGGTTTCGGATGAACTGGTCCATCTGTTGAAACGCCACCGGTTATCCCCGTCATTTATCAAGGTCCATCCCTTTCCATACGGCATGGTCAACGTCTCTGACTTTGGGAGGTGGCACAGTCCATCCCGCGGAAAGCAGTTTGCACGCAAAGTAATTTCTGCATCTTTGAACACGCGAGTCATAAAGTGAATATCTGAAGACTAAATCTGGTTTTCTTCTAGGGACCAAAGTGACTGCTGTGGGTTTAACAATTCTCTTCACCGTGGCTGCAAGTTCCAAGAACGTTTCGAAACAGATTTTCTGCTAACCCATAACTTCTCGCTGCACAGTAATTCAACAAAACCGTCTGCTTCAGTTCTGGAGACTAAAAATGACGACAATAATCTCGATCAGCGTTGGTCTGATCAAAGTGTACGACGAAAAGTAGTCCACTCCGAAGTGTCCCTTAACTTCACCTACTGGTTCGGATTTATGCGTCATGCACTGATAGTCTCCAGGTGAAGCTTGACTGAATGACTATGGTAACCAGTCAGAAGTGGTCATTCTAGTTCCCGTCATTTTCGGCAAAATCATTCCCCATGCTCAATAAAGTTTGTGATGTTGGCATGCTGTTATATTACCTTCTCCTTGGAGATGGCAGTAACCAACATCTCTTACACGGTAAATGCGTCTTCTCCTACTGACTGTTCGGCCGTCGCATCCAACGATGTCCACCGTGTGCTCCACATCAAGGTGAATTAGGCTCGTCGACTTGCGAAGCACCTACCGCACTCTCTCCTACTCCCCCACCTGAGCCCGGTGTCAAGAGAGAGTCAGAAAGACCTGAGGTGGGAGCCAGATCAATGTCCGGCACGCGTTATTGGGTTGTGTACCCATAACAATTGCCCTATATGAGGGCGAGGGAATGTGGTAACACTCCTAGGCCCAGGCTCACGTCACCGGTGTTCTCTCCCGCCTTCAGTGTTCTTGACTGTCATAACATCGGGCCCAGGTGGAGGAAGAGGGGGAGCACGATAGATGCAGTACAAGTCACCGTCCATGAGTCCACCATTCTCTGGAACACATGATGGACATCGTCGGCAGCGACGATCGAAATGTTCTATGATACTAGGGCACTGCTTATTGGCCTATACTAGTGTCTCGCAGGCTTATTTGGCTCGCGGAACACGAGATATAATTCCAAAACCAGGAAACCCCCAATCGGAAATCATTTCCATTGATCTGTGTCTCGAGAAAATCGTATGCGCAGACGAATAAATGTACGCGCCTAGCAAACGCATAGGCATTAATTAAGCGACTAACATTGCGTTATTCACCACCGTTTTAGGTATGTTTGCAGGAGATGCATTTTTAATGACCAAGTAGATTCCGAATTTGTTTCGTGAAGTACCCAGAACCAGTCGAGGGATCGCTTAATACAGGCCACTCCAGACTGCCGTTGAACATAAGACCCAAAAGCCAGTCTACTACTCGAAGTTTCCCCAAATAAATTAACCTCACCACCGGCGATTTTCTCCCCAATGAAAACTTGCTTTTTCTCCATTCGCATAGACAGCCTTTTTATAAGGCGAACCAAACCAATAGATTATTTATTCTTCTGTACAATAACTTAATTACTTAGAACGTTTCCTTGTGCAGACCATTTCCCAAAATTAAGGAGACGCTGAACGCTTCAACAGCCAATCAAGCGTACAGAAAATAACTCCTTGTCGTTACCAAGACAACGAGTCGGCAGAAAATTGCTTAGGCAATTTTAGGCCCGGCATCCCTGTACGTCCTGTCCAGCTAACCCTGGCTTACTAAAAACATGCAGGATACGCCACAGCTATGATTTCAATTTCCCGCTTGATATAATCGCGGGCGCCGTCAACAACGTGGAGACTCGTACCCCAGGGTCAAGCAACTAAAATTCGGTGCTTCCATAGTTATTCGTTCTAGTTCAAATCTTGAAGGTGTCAGAAATTCCTGGCCAGCAATAATCAGACCAGACCAGATCTATTCTACCTCTTTCAAAACACCTATTTAATTACCTGCCAAAGACTTCTAATAGGAGGTTCGTGGTTCATTTTTAAGGTTGTTCCATCTTTTACGGAATTATGAAAGAGACTTCGATAACGGTACTACGGCTCGTACATTTAACTAAGCCGATGAAATTACAAGAAAAGTGGAGAAGACTAAAGTGATAATTTTCTGTCCATCTGCTCTCATCAGCCAACTACGACTCGAACACCTTGGAATTAAACCCACCTGAAGTCGGCTGTCATACATTTGAATCAAACATTTTGTCAGTTGAGTCAGGGACCCCGATCACATCTGATGCAATGGAAAGCAACCAAAACCAGAGACAATTTAGGGTATAAATAGAAGGTGCAGTCAGCTTGATAGAGCCGCAGTTCAACAGCTGATCGGACGTGAATATATGGCTCAGCTGATGGGGATCTGAGTTAAGAATTCTCGATAAGCAACTGTACGTGGGTTCAGGTCTAAACTCTCCGCAGCCTGACTTGTACTTGATACGGCTGCAATCATGCCTGATGTAGCCGGCCTCGATGATGTCCCGAACTGTACCTCTCCACGCGTGACGATCTGCGGCAGCAGATCTGGACAGCTCAACCCATTCCCTTCGCTAACGATGTAGACAGAATAACGAAAGTCCAAGGACCACCTCCATGTCTTGATCCACCGCAGGCTAAGGTTGAGTATGGCTTCTTATAACGGTAAATAAGCTCCAAATGAAAATCCCAATCACGCTATTAGTGTCCATATTGTTATATTCTGCAATATAGGCCTTTTCTACTCAATAAAAAATTAACTGGCTTGATTTTGCGGAATTTTAATGAATTCTTTGTTCATTTCGTGAGGAGTGGTTTTGCTCTTGAGGCCTATCGTTTCAATCCTCCTCAGTAATTTTAGACATAGCTGAAGTTAAACTTTTGGCTGTAATTGTTCGGAGCTCAAAAAACTGTCCACCTCTCCTCCTAATCATTATTAAGCTATGCGTGAGAATATTGCTCAGTTTTGTAGGTTTGTCGCATCACTGACGTCCTTCTTCCTGAGCGCCAAAACTCAGTTGTCTTAGAAATCTGTCCTCGCCGCACCTTTGTAAAAAATTAGTTCCCAAGTTTAAGTAGCAGTTACTGATTACCTGCCAGTCAGGGGACCACATACCTTAATTTTATACAAGTGAGATGCACTTCAGGGCGTATCTTTTGCAGCAAGTTGTAAATTAAATGTTTGATTTGTTTGATAAAAGGTCTTTCACTTAACCTTATCTGCGGTTAAACCTCACCGCCAGGTGTAAAGGGAGCAGTCAACTGACAGCAAACTTTTCAAAACGAATAGATTCACTGAACTCGACAGCATAAATTTGAAACGTCAATAAGAACACCAACAAAACGATTCCGGAGGAGGCAGAATACAACAGTCAACGCGGCTTTACATGCAGGACGTTATATTTGGCTGCTGTTGGATTCCTCGTGTATCGCCGGAAATCAAGATGACTCTCATTCTCACTGCGGGACTTGATGGTGACAGAGGAACCGGCAGGCTGGTCACTGCGATCAGCCTCCGTAAACTCCTGTCCTTTGAGTGCAGAGGTGTCTAGGACCCCTGTCAATATCAGGGCTTGAATCCTCTTGTTTTCCACCTCAGCAAGTCGGCGTTCGTGGGCTTCTGCCTCCTCCTACGAAATAAAGATAATGGTACAGAGTCTATGAGACGTGTCTTCATCCCGTCACGGTTCAGTTCGTATATAGTGCGAATTTGAGGCTAGAGCATATCACAATGAACATGATGATAGAAGGAAGTCAAGAGCTAAGTTCAGCCATTTGCCTCTTGTCAACAGGGAGTAGCTTATGTGAAAAATTAACGACAGGGGAATTCTATAAGCACAGAAGTTGAAAAACAGTGGGTACTTAGTCATTTGCGCATCGAGTGTCCACCCTTAGCTGATAGTATGAAAAACTTTCGCTCATACCTGCTAATATTTACTCCTAACTTTCATCTTTTCCACCTGAAATTTTCAAGTCTGCAGTGAATGAGTTGAACTCTAATTCGGACACGTGTCTACCTCTATCCCTAGGGACGTACTTATCTCTTATTACTGCTGGGCGTGAGTTAAGGACAGAAAACTTCCTAGTTTTGGATTTTTCGAGCCGTGGCAGAGCTGCTCCCTGAAAAACCGCCAACCATCCATAAATGTTTACAAACCTGCCTGGACACTAGATTCCTTTTAAGGCATGCGCATAGAATCGGTCGGACTGGTTGCTTGTTTTCTCAGTGAAGTAAGTTCAAGATAAATGTTTGGAAAGTAAGAGAGACTTTCTAAGGAATTGGTAATTTCAATGAACATTCAATTTCCTGAAAATGCGCACTGCTTAAAGACCTTAAAGAATGACTTCCTCCCTAAGACATACAATTTATAGTTGTAATTTAAACTCAGTTGTAAAGACCTCTGCGCGCGAATATCATGACAGAGAAGTCCACATTTTACCTTCCCTAAATGACCACGATTTCCGAAGAGACTCGATTGTGTTTCCACTTTATATTTTTGTGTATCTACAGTCCGAGCAGTCATTATCTCACAAAATGCCCCTGGCACGAACTTTGACCCGCCTCTATGCTGCTGGCCAGTTCTGACTTTATCTGGGATTGACCGCTGGCGGGTTCGCATGAGCTTTTATCCCTTTGTGACCGGCGTATCTGTATCTAAATCAGCCTGCTTTTTGGCCCTCCCCACGTCAGTCGGCGGACCGATCAGTCGTTGGAGTTCGCGCGACTTGCTTTCAACTTCGCAGGTGCGTCGGTGGGGCAGCGGGCGATGCTGGTCGCGTGACCTCCGGCTCCACGGCTCCGCTACTGGCCCCGTCCGATCTGATCACAGTCTCGTGCGTAGCGCCTGGTAGGCGAGGTGCAGGTCTACAGCTCGGTTAACGGTGCCAGTCAAGGACCAACTTTCGAGCATCAATCTGGTCACCTTCTCCCTGGCCCAGCCGACTACTCTTGCTTTCTCAAAGTCGATACTGTGCTTCAGCTGCTGTGTGTGAACATAGGCCACAGACAGCTTATCCCTGCGATTGCAAGTTGTTGTTTGTGCAAAGCGTTTATGCCAAGGCGTTCGCAAGTTTCACCAACAAACCTGGCATTTCGATTTTGGCATGTTATGCCATAGACCACCGTTGATTATGCTGGCAGCGGATCTTTGGGTTTTATGACTAGTATCTGATTGTTCATTCTACTTCACGATCCGCGCCATTCGCGAAAGGCTTAAGGATTCCTGCCGTCGCCTCTGAAGAGTCCTTCACATAAGAGATTGTGAGCTAAGAATTTAGGAATTTCTCCGTTTGACCACTCATAATGAGGCATCCTGAGGCACTTAAGTATGAAGGACTTTGAATAGCCGCTGTTTTTAAATGTTACGGTTTGTAATACTGATTATCGTACGGCATAGTCAGAAGACATTTCTGTCGCAAAAGAATGCCGGTTTCTGAATGCACTTTCTTTCGATCGCCTGCAGCAGTCACCGTCAATAAACAGTAATTGCAAACTGGTATGCTTCCAATGATTTTCATTGCCTTTATAAACCCTAATATGTATTATGGAAATCGTGCCCAAACTACCCCTTCTTATACTAATTTGACTGCTAATTTACCTCTTCTTTAAATACTATGCACCAAGAAAGCGTATCTTTAGTCTTAAAATAGGTTTATTAAGACAGGGAAATGTGTGTCCAAACGGCGTAGTATTCGTATATTGCTTTGCACACATTATGAATTATGCAACATAGTACATATCCATTTTACGATTTCATGGGTCCCATATGGCACTTTCTCAGTAGCATTGAGGTGTGTGGGATTTTCCGTGCATAAAAGTTGTAGTAGCATGTGTTTAAAACTCCAAAACGAATATGCAACTGCAGAGCTGGTTTTAAATTATGTGGGATATGGAAAAGTATTTTTAATCCTATAGCGTGTTCCACTTTGAGCATAAAATTTAAAAAAACTTGATCATTGCTATAAAGAGCAGTAGAAATATATTCTTTGTACACGTTTTCTAACATATATATACTTTAGTTTTTAGGGGCAACAAAAATTAATGAAAAACGCATAATAATTAATAGTCATTGTTTACCCGGTGTGGGTTCTCGAAGGGGATCGGAAAAAACGCGTTAAAAAGCCACCACACTCTCGCAAATAAGTTATCTTATGATCATGTCTCACGGTAATCGACATTCAGAATTCACCAAAAAAATTCTTTTTCATCTCAAAAACATTTCAGTATTTCAGTTAAAATTTTAAGAGATATGCCACCTACAGTACAACTTTGGACTCAATAACGTTCTGTCACATAATGACGAAGGTTCGAGGCTCAGGTACGCCAAAACCTGGCTTTGGGTAAGGCTGGCTGACGGCGGCTAATAGTCCAGAGATTGTCATCCCAGTCTCTTTCGCCTTTGTCGGCACCCACCTTCTGTACATATATGACAGAGTGGCAGAGAATGGCAGGTGGCGAGGCACTGATGAAATTTGGTTCGATGAAGTGTTTATGACCCATCTGGTAGACCCCAGTGGTGGACCAGCTGCGCCAGGTGCGTCTGTGCGCATGTTTGTGTTTTCGGTACCAGCTGGTAATCAGGGTTACGATTGGCTGAATGAAGGCAAACAAGTCCGAAACAGTGCTGTATCAATCTACCCCCAGACCTTATCGTCTCCCCCCATATATATGTATATATATTACTAGTCACTTTGCGACTATTTGCGATTGCTCTACGTTGAACCGAAAAGTGAAACGGAAGGAGCGGGTCTTGTAATCCAATCGGCGAACGCACCGAGGGTTGTTCACCTATGAAAGTACGCAACATACTCATCGTTTTGCACCGCGCATCTCAAGCACGACACACACAGGTAGTCGCATTGTGATCATTGTTGACGGAGAGTTGAGTTTCGACAAATACAAGGAGACTCAGCCGGCCATCTCTGGCTAATTAACCACCGTCGGTCGGGCATACCCAAAGGTATATTAAATGTACTACTATTAACCTTATCTGCTTACCTCGGCTTCCTTTTCTAACGCCATTTGCAGTTCCTTCATTGCCGCGTGGTCGTTAATTCTAATTGCTGGTCGTCCAATAAGACGGATGAGTCGTCGACGCACCTCTTGAAAATGGTATGAACTAGAAGCAGAATAGGCCATCTTTCTTAACGAATTTAGTAGGCAACTTAACGCTTTTAAACACTGCAAAAGCTCTTTTTCAATTTTCGGATCGTCAAATTTGCACAATACCTTGCTGTGCATAAGTATGGAACTTATGCGTAACGGCAAAATTACAAAACACCTGTGAACCGTTACCATGACGATATGGAAATGAGGAAAGACGCATTCGCTAAAGTACTAGGACCCTTTAACGAGCCCGTTGAAGGAGTCAGATGTATGAAACATCAAGGAGTAGCATAATCGTAATTTTCCAGCCTCTACATACACTGTTAGGAAAAACAAATATCCAAAGCGCCTTCAAACAGGTACAATCAATAAGTGGATATCACAGACTGGTTCTTTTACCTTTGCACATTTTGTAAGTAGTCTTGGGTGACCTTCTGAAATAAGGTACTTTATGTAAGCGTACATGAAGTTTTAAAACCTATGTATGGATTTCCAGGATGACTGTTCATTTTTGTAAAAGGCGCATACGATCCCTCTCACGGGGTCTTCAAAACAATTAGTTTTAACACCTTCTGAATGATAAATAATAACTCATGTACCGGTAAGCACCTCTTACAGTCTTCTGGTCACTCGGCTCATGCCTATAAAACATCACCAAATATAAAATCCAAATTGTAGTGAGTAAAGTCAATAAAAGCAGTGAAGGCTCATCTTACCTAATAAAATACAGTAAAGGGGCTTCAACAACTTGTTGGGACTTTCGTTAGCTGCAACCAATTTCTGGGCGCAAACACAAACTCAATTTGTGACCGTTCTGCACGACAGTGGCCTCTAATTGGCAGCGAACGTCCTCTGAACTCCGTATCGCTGCCAGTTCGGATAATAACTAAACTACAGCGGTCATAAAAAGCGACATTCTTAAAGATTACCGAAAATTCTGCTTGTAGCCAAAGTTGCTGAGAAACGTTTGTGGCTTCCCTTCGGCGTATGAGTAATATGTAGTATAAAGACAGGAGTGTGGCTTAGGTGACTGCTATTTGAGCAGAATTATACGTCCTACCGATAGTGGGATGGAATACGGCGTTCCGTTTTTCGCCCTGCATTTCCTCCATAACACCCATGAAGGTGACGACACAACAATGAGCGAACAGCAAAAGAAAATAACTGAAGAGACGGACTGAAAATTTGCATCCGTTATCATACAAATGCAGTTGAGTGAAGTGCGCAGAAGAGGGGAAAACAAATGACGGCGAGATGGAATGCAATCTGGAAGGACCGAGATTTGTCTGCGACCTATTCAGGGCTAATGGATGCTCACGCAAGACCGTCAAAAACAGAATCGGACAACCAAAGCGTTGGCGATAGAGGAGCCGACCGCCCGGGGGAAAGAATTTCGTTCAGCTTCAGAAATCTCTAAATACCGATTTCACCCGCCGACCTGAAGTGACAGTCCGACAAATGCACCGTAGAAACACCATCTACTAATCGTTACATGTTTCTCCCTGCGACACATGCCGACCAGTGGGATCATAGAGTCCACGACGGGTAGTTTATGTGCGTGGAGAGATCCCAACGCTGACAGTGCGAACCCTATCTATACTTATATTATTTCGATTTACAGACCCAGGGTCGCTGTGTCGTGCAACTGCTCATCGCGTAGTTGTCTTTTCACCAATAATTAGTCACCACCGTAGTAAACACCGTTAAATACACAGGGACGACGGCGGAAGCTTGGTTGCTTTGAAAGCAGTAGGAAAATACACTTCCATTTCAAGAGACCCCTTCATCTTTTTGATTCTGGTGCACTCAGTCAACTATAACCGGAGCCCGGTCCGAGTGTTGTTCCGTTTATAGAGGTATTTGCGTAACCTGCGGACCAAAACCTTTGACGGTTTCAGCTTTTAGCACCAGATCAAATTACTACCTTTTAGGTGATAACGAGGTGTCCTTCGACAGAAAACGAAATATGTATAAATTACTTCATGTGGGTGCAACTATGGCATTAACTACATCGAGCAGTTACTCGTTTGTACACGGATGGGCATAAGTGATTCAAAACCATCTCGTGTGAAGCGCTTTAATTACACACGTCTGTTTCTCTACTGTATTTATTAATCTCACGCTTATCGTAGCAGCATTAATCAACTGTCAATTCTGACTGCCTGTTAAGTGGGTCAATTCGTAACTGTACCGCGTCTGTTAATAAGCGGGGTGTCTGTCTACGCATTCTCATTACAATCTCGTGAATATAATGTTTTTTTTGCTTCACTACGAATTTCACTTAGGTTGCCTTCAAAAGCATTATAAGGCCAGGTAGTCTTGGCTAACACGAATTCACCCCATTTACTCTAACTGTCCACAACAGTTTCTCCCAGCGTTCTCAGTTTATTGCGCTTCTCAGTCAGCTTTCAATTCACAAAGCATAAATTTCAGCATGGATATTAAAATATCTTTAAGTCTGACTTTGGACATCGAGTTGACCAGGGTTATTATTCGTTCGAAACAATAACGACAGTCTGGCATAAGTAGGTGCCGGCCTTTTTACTTACTAGCAGCTCTTTTTGTAATATTCAGGGCCCATCTCCATGAGTGCGGAGCCAGCATTGCGGAGTCTCCTAATTATACTTTGTGCGACGGCGGCTTCCTCTAACTTCTCCTCCAACTCGGCAGTTACTCCTTTTTTGGCGACTGGCCTCCGCGATGGACGTCGATGAGGCGTAGTCTCAATGGGCATTTCGTCCTCATCGGACTTGGCTATTAGTGAAAGGGTAGTATATTGTAAAGACCGTTTTAGGCAACAGCAATCAAAACTTACACACAATGTCACTTCCCCCGCCCGAGTTGTCCGACAACGAAGACAAGGTGTCGGTGGGTTCAGTTTGTGATGAGGGCGCGGCTCCGGAGACTGCCCTTAATATGCACTCCTGTGTAGAGAAAGCAAGCTAGAAATGCAGCATCGGGAATCCTCGGGTGATGAAGCTAAAGCTTGACAGACACCCCATTGCTAGCTTGAATTATGATAGTGATACGAAATATCCTAAACCCGCGCGGTTAATTCGTCAGTGCCTTCAGAACCAACCCAAGTCGAGTCAGCGGAGCGCTAAGAGCATGGTTTCTTTCCCTTTGCTTGTATCAAGTTGTGGAGTTTAGGCCGTGCGAACGTAAGTACAACTTTGATCCCTACCCTCGAATCGGCTTTATGCACGGAACCGCGTGTTCAAGCCATCAATAGCCATTGAGTCAAAAGGTCTGGTTGCTATTGCCTATAATATTGCCTTAGAGTTTGCTAAAGACTAGCCAGTCTATAGACCTATCAAGTAAAGTGCTCTAAACCTAACCGCTTCCCCTTTTCCTAGATTTAATTTTTACGGATTCGTCCGGCTGATAAACGCAACCAAGTCTTTCAGACCGCTGGGGACTAGGAAAGTGAAGAAGCTAGAAATTCAGTCGCATGAAATTACATCGCTCAAGAAGTAAAAGCAGGCGAAATTCGAAGTTCAGTGGCCTCTATCAAGCGCGTGAGCTCTGTTCACGAACAACCAGCTATCCTGCCGACCTCGAAGCTCAGTAGGCGTGTGGCCCAACAGCAAATGAGACCCCGGAACACATACAGTGACGTCGATTCAGTAAGTCCAATCAGTCTACGCCCACCACTACCATCGCAAGTCTGCACAGTTAGCGGAAATTGTGCCGTGGATGGAGGTAAACGAGCGTGGACGTGCCTGAGCGATTGTCGAAGTCAGTCGCACTGAGGAAGTGCGCGTGGAAGGGGGCCAGTCAGATTTGCGTTCACGGACGACGATGACGACGACGAAGACGAAGACGACGACACGAAATTGAAACAGATGCTTCAGCTTCTTCTGCCTATTCCTCGCGTGACAGCATATTTAAACTTACTATTACTTATTTATGCAGAGCTGCGTTCGGTGGGCATGAGCGATACAGCCAAATGTTATGAAACATTTACAAGTCTTCATTTCAACTTGTTGAGGAAAATAATCGCATCCCAGTCATTCCGAAATAAGCACATCAGATAGATCGGATCGAAACAGCCAAAACAAGGCTGTAGAAAAGTTTTCCGTTTGTACCCGTCCTTCTTCCTGAAATTCACGCCCTCATGAGACTGATTTCCTCAATAACTCCTTAAATTGAAGTTTGATATATCATAATACTAGAATAAACGAGTTGACTTACTCGATGGTACGAGATCATTTTGTCATCTTGAAGGTTGTCATCGGGTTCAAACAAGAAGTTAGTGATTTGAACTAAAAAGTAGGCATATGACTGTTAGTTCTTAATTTGAATTGGGATTGTTGGGGCATGCAGATTCGACATTCACATTCACACTAGTCTTAAAGTACATATTTACACTAGCTACTGTCTTCCATATAATGTAAGGGAAAACTGTGTGGGAAACTTGAGCTCTACTACTGAATATCGAACTGTCAGTTCATACTAATTAGTAATTTTGAGTTGAATAACTTTTGGTAAAAAAGAGCAAATTACGCCGAGCGCCCATTCATAAACCATTCGACCCATGTGAGACGTCAGACACATGCATGAAGTGGTAGTTTGTTATGGATAAAGATAAAGGGACAGTGAATTGTTCATTTCTGGCTTATAGGCTGCCGTCAGCCAGTGATACCGCAGCTTCGAGTTGAGCGCTGGAGGTATCCACCCGAGTCAACTAATAGTTGATAAGTTTTACACAATTCAAATTCCTGACTGAGATAGAAGGCCAAGTCCTGTCGGTGGTAACCGTGAATCCCAAAAGTAACTGGAGCGGTGTTCACTGGTGTATCCTGACTTCGATCGAAAATGGGCTCTTCTGTTTTGGCTTAGAGTTCTGGGTCAAGTGTCCACGCTGGTAGGTCAATAGTTACGTTGTCAAACGCTCTTACCACTCGAAATATTGTGTTTATATTCTGCAT